CTGGTGTCGTTTACTTACTGCTTTTAATACTTGCACTTAGTTAGAACTGTATAACTCCTTGGACTTGGTATCTGTGTTCAGCAGAACTTGTTCTACGAGTTAACAGAAGGCCTACTGCCTATTGCTTCTCTGAGACTAACAGAACTCCCTACCAGAACCCCATCCGCTGCCAGTCTGTTCTTTCAACAGAACAGGCTATTCTGTAAATCTGGTACTTAGCTTAAAAAAACTAAAAACCAATACAGTCTATTAACCCCCCTCTAGACTGTATCCAGTATAACCGGGACCAACACTCCCCTGTGGAAAAAACGGTGTTAGCCATCGTTTGGACTGTCAAGAAGTTGGGCCACTACTTTCAGGCTCACCCGGTTCAGGCCCTCACCCATCAAGGGCCAAGCCCTGGCGGACTTTGTGACGGAGTGTACCGCAAGGGCAGCCACGGACGGGGAGCCCTCGGCTACCTCGGACGACTGGTGGACCCTCTACACCGACGGCTCCTCCGCGACCAAAGCATGCGGAGGAGGGGTAGTCCTCATTACTCCCGAGGGCTTCAGAGCCTACTATGCAATCCGCTTCTCCTTCAAAGTCTCCAACAACGAGGCCGAATATGAGGCCCTCCTATGTGGCCTTCGGCTGGCTGCCAACATGAGGGCTCGGCAGATCCACATCAAATGCGACTCCATGTTGGTCGTTGGCCAAATCTCCGAAGAATATGAGGCCAAGGAGGGGAGAATGAAACAGTACAAGGAAGCGGCCAAGGAGTTGCTTAAGGTATTTGAGGCACACTCTCTCACTCAAATACCAAGGGCTCAGAACTCCGAGGCCGACATATTATCTAAGCTCTCGGCCGACTCCCCCGAGCACATCTCCAAAATTGCCAAAATCGAGGAACTCAGCCTCTCAAGCATCCATGCAAGCCCCGTTATGAACATACAACAACGTCAAGAGGATTGGATCTCAGATATCACCACCTTCATCTCCACAGGGCAGCTACCCGAGAATGAGGCCCGCGCTAAACTGGCAAAGCTGAGGGCTCCTAGCTACAGCATCGAAGATGGAAGGCTCTACAAACGATCTTACAATGGCACGCTACTTCGGAGCCTTCATCCAGATGAAGCCGAGGTCGCAATGGAGGAAGTGCACAGTGGCACTTGCTCAGCTCACCAGGGACCCTTCTCCATGTCTCGAAGGCTCATTCTCCAGGGCTACTTCTGGCCAACCATGGCCAGGGATTGTGTTGACCTTGCCCGGAGGTGCACCGCATGTCAACATTTCCAGAAAGCCCCCGGCAGGCCAGCGGTCAACTATGCCCCCATCAGCACCTCTGTCCCCTTTTCTCGATGGGGGATAGACCTTGTGGGCCTTTTGCCGAGGGGTACCTCCAACAACAGATACATCATTGTGGCCGTCGACTACTTTACCAAGTGGGTGGAGGCTGAACCCCTCGCCAGCATCACAGAGGCGAAGTGCTGTCACTTCGTCCTCAAGAACATCCTCACAAGGTTTGGCGTCCCCCAGCAGATCATCTCCGACAACGGGACACAATTTGAGGTAGCCCCCTTCTGTGCCCTTCTGGAGGCATGGGGCATCAAACACACCTTCTCCTACGTTGCCTACCCTCAACGCAATGGGCAAGTAGAGAATGCCAACCGGACCTTGCTCGAGGGCCTCAAAAACAAGCTGGAGGACGAGGGCGGTGGCTGGGTGGAAGAACTCCACAACATCCTTTGGGCCTACCGCACCACCCCTCGGCGAGCAACAGGTGAAACACCCTTCTCCCTCTGCTACGGTTTCGAAGCCAAAGCTCCTACGGAAGTCACCCTTCCCACCCGAAGGGTGATCCAATATGACCCTGAGGTCAACGACAGCAACATGGCCCTCGACCTCCACCTCATTTCAGAACGCCGGGAGCAGGCCTTCATCCGGGCAGAAAACTACCGAAGGCAAGTCAAAAGCTACATCGACGCCAAAGTCCGCACCCGAGAATTTCAAGTGGGGGACTATGTCCTCCGGAGGAGGGAAGCCAGCCAACCAACCGAGGGAGGAAAAATGGCACCAAAATTCAAAGGCCCCTACATCATAGCAGCCATCATCAAACCTGGAACCTACAAGCTCAAACGCCCCAACGGGAAAGAAGTCCCTAGGCACTGGAATGTACACCACTTAGTTAAATTTTATCAATAATGTAAGAGCGGCCAAGCCCTCATAACTAGTGAATGTACTATCCTATGGCCCAAGGCCTCCAATTTCGAAGAATGAAGATACATTCAAGACATCAAGCCATCATACTGACTACAGGCCCCCGGCCTCACCACGAGAAAAAACCCCCTCCGGCACCAAGTGCCGAGGGCGGACACCATCCACACCTACAACAACAGTGAAAACACCACATGTTTTCAGTCAAGACCCCTCGGTATCAAGTACCGAGGGAGAGAACTCCTATCACCAACAACAAGGAACGCCATGTGTTTCATTTCCCTTCGGCACCCAGTGCCAAGGGCACATCCACACCTTTAACATCAAAAAAGAAAAGATGAGAACACCAAGTGTTCCTACAGAAGACCCTTCGGCACCCAGTGCCGAGGGTACACCTCCATCATCAAACATCGAAACGAAGAAAAAAAAACCAAATGTTTCAAAAAAGACCCCTCGGCACCCAGTGCCAGGGATATGCTCCCCTATCAACTTCCAAACATCTGTTGGGAAACACCAAGTGTTTCATTTGAAGACCCTTCGGTACTAAGTACCGAGGGTAGACGCCTACATCAACTACAACAAAAGAGAACACCAAGTGTTCCTACAGAAGACCCCTCGGTACCAAGTACCGGGGGCTACACATCGAAACTAACACCAAGTGTTGTTTCTAAAAGCCGTACCCCACGAGGACGCATATACCGAAGGCGCCACCATCGGTGCCGGCGGCACGTAGTGCCCCCGGCCATTTGCAACTAGTGTGCAAATGAAAACCCTTCCTTGAAATGCTTTCCGCGTCACTACCCCCAGGGTATGACAGGCATGAGAAATGCCCAGGATTCGACTTTCAAAAACGGAACGCTATCCGCGTCACTACCCCCAAGGTATGACAGGCATGAGAAATGCCCAGGATTCGACTTCCAAACCGAAACGCTCCCCGCGCCACCACCCCAAGGGTGTGGCAGGCCACGGACTATGTCTAGCGCCCAGGGGACGACTTTCAAAAATGAGGCGCTTTCCGCGCCATCCCCCAAGGGGAGGCAGGTTACGGACCACCATATCTTGTGCCCAGGAAACGTCCCTCGATCCCCTCGGAACTCGGAAGGTTAACCCGAGGGAGGAGAGCGATTGGTGTATTCTGATGGTCTCCTAATAGGCCTAGCCTTACCAAGAAACCAAGTTTCTTGATGCCTTCCCTTCACCACCAACCAAAAAGGGGGGGGGGGTGAAGGGGAGTAGACTCAGCGAGAAATCAAAGAGTACACTCCAACAGATCACAACAGGCCGAGGGCTCCCCACGGGAACACCTCCAGTAACTGAAGGCTCCTATTTCCCGAAGGATACTACTCGAACAAATAGCAGCAAGGAACGGCTAAGTCCACTGCCTGGTCACCTCCGGTCACACAAACACCGAAGGCTTCAACAATACAAAGGGACTGGACTATCCAAAGTACACTAAGACGGCACCTTCAAATATGTACCGAAGGCAGCTGTTATACATTAATACCGAGGGCCCCTACCCCATTACAAGGGACACAACTGGCTGAGTCAAACTCTACAACTCTTCAGAGTGTATGCCGAGGGCACACACTCCTCATTGGCTTTCTTCACAACAACAGGATTCAACATCAATTTATGCAAAGTAATGTAGAGTCAGAGGGCACCTATCACCCGAAGGCTACACAAGGAAGCAGCACTTGAAAAAATTCTAAGTCCTAAAGATTGGGCCCCCGGCCCAATCAATATTACTGCCAAGGGAATATGGTAGCCGAAGGCCTGACAATACAACAACGCTTAAAAAAATATTCTGTCCTAAATGAGCAGCCCCCGGGCATCTCGCAAAGTGATGTGGAATCAGAAGGGATGCCATCTCCCGAAGGCTCCCAAGGGAAAATCTACACTTCGAATATTTTCTAAGTCCTACATATTTTCCCCCCGGTCAACTACTCTTACCTCAAGAAGGGATGCCATCTCCCGAAGGCTCCCAAGGGAAAATCTACACTTAGAATATTTTCTAAGTCCTGCATATTCCCCCCCGGTCAACTACTCATACATCATGGAGGGATTCCATCTCCCGAAGGCTCCCAAGGGAAACTCTACACTTAGAAGATTTTCTAAGTCCTACATATTTCACCCTCATCTCAAGGGACCCAATTGCCGAAGGCTACCTATCAATCGAGGGCTACAGTACACAAGGAATCAACACTCAAGAAAATTTTCTAATTCCTAAAGAATTGGCCCCCGGCCTATTCGATATTTCAGTTGGGGCTCCACAGTAGCCGAAGGCTACGTGACATACTACACTTGCAAAAAATTTCTAAGTCCTGTACATTGGGCCCTCGGTCCAATATTCACACATCAGGAACGGATGCCATCTCCCGAAGGCCCCCAAGGGAAAATCTACACTTAGAAATTTTTCTAAGTCCTAGGAATTGGGTTACTGCAAACACCCGAAGGCCCTAAGGTATGCTACACTTAGAAAAATCTTCTAAGTCCTAATTCCTACTGAACCCTCGGTTGCATATCCAGCAGAGGGTGCCCAACTACCGAAGGCGTCCAAGGGCAAGCTACAATCAGAAAATATTCTAAGTCCTAAAACATACATTCAAAGGATCAAGGCATACATCCAAAGCAAGACGAAGGCATGTATTCGACAATGAACAAATCAAAAGGAAGCAGATTGTATATCAAAGGCCCGAGGGCATATGTACTCATTCATTCAAAAAAAAAGAAGTTTGATTGTGCTTTACAAAGGGGGCCGAGGCCAACAATTACAACACAAAAGGGGGGAATACAATTTAAGAAGGGGGGACTGTAGATATCGCCTCGCTCTCGGCTTCATCCTCTTCACCGCCAAGGCCGCACTCCCGGAGGGTCTCCGAGTCTTCAAGAACCGGTCTCTCTTCCCCCTCGGGGAGTGGGATCCTGACATCTGGCTGGCGGGGGGGGGGGGGGGGGGGGGGGAGGCCATAAGCCTCGGGACGGAACTCCTCCGGTGCCACCTGAAAGTGCTTCGCAAGCTTCCGGTAGATGAGGCGTTGGGTGAAGAACTCCCCGCCTTGGTAGTACGAGTCGCCCCTCTCAGCAATTCACATCTTTCCGGGGCCCCCGACCCACTCGTCTACTGAAGCCCCCACCACCGAAGCGAGCCACTCCCTCCGGTCTTCGGCCTTCCACCCTTCAGCCGTGAAGCTGGTCACCGCATCCTCTCGGGCCTTGGAGACGGCCTCTTCTTGAGCCGCGCAGGCTTCATCGGCAGCAATACGGGCGGCCTCGGCGGCGGCCTCCCCGGCCCTGGCTAGCCCCTCATTGACCCCTTCGGCCCTTGCAGCCTGCACCCTCTGCTCCATGCCGTCGGTGGCCAGACGGAGAGAGTCCTCGGCTTCAGCAAGCTTCTTCCTGAGGAGGGCGGCCTCCCCCTCGGCGGCACCCTTGGCCTCCCTCATTTGATCCACCCTTCGGAGGTGCTCGCAGAGGCCCATAAAAGTCTGCAATTCACGAAGGCAAGAATAAGGCATAATGAACATAGTACAGAAGGAAAACATAACAATGAGCAAAGAAGGGAGGGTGACTTACGGAGGCAGCATTCAGGAGGACCTTCGCCTCGAGGGATCCCTCGTCCAGCCGGGCAAGGGCCAGTCGGTCGGCCGACGGCAGCATCTGGCTCATCAGAGCCGAAGGGTTCAAACTGCCCTCCAACACGGAGGCCCCCTTCGGTACTAATGCCTCCAACCTCTCCCGCCCAAAGAACTCCTGATTGATTTGTTCCTGGGGGGTGGAGGCAGAAGCGTGCCCTTCGTCCACAATCACCACCACATCGGTGATCGGTTGTTTGGTAGGGGCGGTGGTCTTCGGCTTCTTGGCCGGGGGCTCGGTCCCCTTTCCAGCAATCTTCTTTTTGACGGGCCCAGCACCCTTGGACCCTCCGGCGCCAGCAGCAGCGCCAGCAGTTTGAGAGGGCCCCTCCCTGGCAGAAGCGCCCGCCGGGGCCTTCTTCTTCCCTTTCGCGTTTTTTAAAGCGAAGAGGGAACCAACGTCCATATTGTTACCTGCAAGCAACAAAAAAAACAGGAGGGTTAGATCGAAGGCTACCAGTTACTACGTCATAAAAAAAAGCGGAATAAGAGAGAACTATCAACGCATCAGTGAACAATTCGGTGATCACCTCCGGCGCCTTCGAAGACCCTATCGAGGGGAGGGTATCTCTCATCCGAAGAGCCCCTCGGCCTGAACTACCGGAAGCCCAGGCTAAGCAAATCCTCCGGAAGGGTGACTTCTCTGATCTTGACATGCTTGTCGGACCCCTCCGGCTTCTTGGCAAGCACTTTGCCGTTCTTCTCCAAAGCTGCGCTCCCCACCTTCGGATGGCGCCGGAAGCTATTACGGAGCTGGGCCGGGAAGGGGTTCTCCTCGAGGCGGATGTAGCAGAACCTCTCTTTCCACCCCTTGTGAGACGAGGGCACATCATCAAAAAGCCGGAACTCCGGTACCTGCTGAAGGTTGGCAAAGCCCTCAGCATTTGAATGTCCCCCCGGCAAAGGTTGAAGGACATGAAGAATTGATCAAGTGTGGGCTCGACCCTCCGGCTCTGACACAAGGAGAGGAAGCCGGCCACATAGGAGTGGCTGTTGGGCGTTAGCTGGCAAGGGGCCAACCCCACAAATCTCAGATACTCCAAGAGAAAAGGATGGAGCGGGAACCGAAGCCCCATCTCCACCGAGAGGGTGTGAGCAGCAAAGCACCCCTCGGGCGCATATCGCAGCAAATCATCCGCCCTTGGCTCCACCACGCGCGCCGAAGGTCCAACCAGCATCTGGGTGGACTGGTATTCTGCCGGGGACGCCTTCGTCTTCAGCTCTAGAGCGGCAGTATTCAAGAACGAATGGCCCTCGGGTATGCCCACCGGCCGCCCGGCATCCACTGCCGCTTGCTTCTTCCTCAGGGCCGCCTTCGTCTTGTTTTTCTTCCCGGGAGCCACACTTATGGGCGTCGGGTCCAATGGCCGGGAGGAGCTGGCTTCCCCGGCACCCCGGGGGGGAGGAATGGCAACCGTCACCTTCAGCCTCTCCCTCTCCTCTTCCTGCTCGGCGGTTTGCACGGCGAGGGCAAGCTCTTCATCCTCGTTTTCTTGCTCGAAGCCCTCGGCTTCGACTTCGGCCTGGAGGTCCTTCTCCACTTCCATGGCCACTGCGGCATCACCACCTGCCGAGGACTCCACGCTCGAAGACTCCACATCTGAGCATGTCTCCATCTCTACCGAAGGCTCCCCCGAGATATCCTGGGAGTCGCTCTGTGATGACATCTGCTCACTAATTCGAAGGCTCGGGAAAACTAAGGTTTCCTAGGAAATTCTATCTCCTAACCTAGGGGCACAAGGCACAGCTAAACTAGAAGGAGAAAGGCGGGGGGGAACTGACCTTGAAAGCTGAGTTGTTACCGAAGGCTGGAGTTTCTCTCTCTAGAATTTTTGCCAGAGCTTCGCTACACTGAGTTCGCACAGCGGGGAATGGCCCTGGCCTTGGGGTATTTATAGGCGATGGAATCCGGGCTTGGGCTTGGATTCCGGGCCTCCGGATGGACCGCCATCATTACACACCGCGTCCTCATCCAACCAGTGATGCCGCCCACGGACAGCCAGCCATCACGCACCACGTGTCCCCCCCAACGGCTATATCCTGACGTTACGTATTCCAACGGCTATATTTCCAACGGCTATATTCTGGAAGCCCCCGGGTTTTCTACTGCACTCCGCTACATCAAGGAGAGCCTCCGGGTACACTTACCCAGAGACGCCCCCGGGTTGTGCCCCACACAGCCCATAGCAGATGCCTTCGGGATCACCCCTTCAGAAACTCAAGGCTTCATATCAGGGCACCCCTCGGGGATTCCCCCTCAGCACTGCAAAACCGGGTAGCCCCCGGGGAGTTGCCTCATTGACGGGTGACCCATGGCACACAGGTAATGGGAGCCCTCAGGTATCTTCATCACCAACTAATCAACAAACAGTGGACCCCCCGGTAACAACTCCACTGCTGCCCTCATCTGGCAGGCCCTCGATCCCCGGATTGAGGGGCTCCCCTTCGACGCCCCCAGGACATCAACAGCAAGCCTTCGGCTAATCAACACATGAGCCCTCAGAACAAGGAAGAGCCTTCGGCATTACCGTTGTTCTCCATTTCTGACCAAGGTTTCACATTTTCGATTCATCATTGGGGGGATTCGGTGCACTCTTTTTCCCTCATTAGGATTTTTTCCACCGGGGTTTTTCCTAATGAGGTTTTTAACGAGGCATCCCCCCAAAATGAAACGAAAAGCGTCAGCCTTTGGCCCACAACAGCAACATAACTACTTTACTCCTTTTCACCACTTTACAAGTGCCTCAAGGAGTGGGGGACTGGAGGACCCCCTCGGGAAAATCATTAAATTACAAAATCAGTGAAATTCCAACAAACGACAAGGCAAGCCCTCAAGTCCCGACATGTGGGTAACTGAGGGACTGCCTTCGGCAGGGACATAAAAGCAACAACTCCTCACCAACTTCAGAGATCATGACGGGACAACATCAAAGGGCAAGCACAAATTACTCCTTTTCCCTCAAGTACCTTTCGGCAAAAGGAGTGAGGGACTCTTGATGGAGTATATGGCCCGGGAACCCCCGGCCCACAGACTCCTACTACTCCAGCGAAGGCCCAACAGGCCCAGAAGGCCCAGCAGGCCCAAATCACAGCGCCTAGAGTACCAAGCAGCCCGCACTACGCGCCAGGGGTGCCTTCGGCCCCCTGGCCGAAGGCTCTAAATTCTCACAGAACGGGTTTCTCAAGCAAATTAAGAAACTGGGAGAAAACGGCGAAAACAGTAGCCCTCGGCACCAGGGTGCCATCGGGTGGAAGATCCCTCGGCTACTGCTCTATAGCCGAAGGCATCTCACTCGACAAGATATCCGCCTCACATGCGTACAGATCACCGTACCCCGCACAGACGTCCCATCCAACAGCCGCATTAAATGCGGCCACATGCGGCTGCCAGCGCCAACCAGTTGAGGTGACCCCTCGGCCAATGAGCGCTTGACACGTGTCCCTGCCCGGCATTTATTGCTACTATAAATAGCACCCCATTTCCTCATTTGTAACCACGCTGAAAACGGCATTCATACTGAATACACTCTCTCTCTACATTTACTTACTTGCTCCGACTTCTCTCTAAGTTATTCCCCGTAATAACCCTTCGGATATATACCCCCGGGTAGACTATCCATCACACTAAGCTTGTAAAAAATCCAATTACAAAGCCTTAGTCCTAGCACTAAGAAGCTCTCCACGTCTTCTTCAAGCCTAGATGTCTCATGGGATGCACTTCTTTGCTTCCTTTAAGATTGGTTCTTTCACTGAGCTTCCTTGAAGTATCTCCACTTCACTACTCCAGTTACTTAAACGTCCTTCTATTTAAAGAAGAGTTCTTGTCAGAACAGGGGTTTTCCAACTTGCTTCATCACAAATGATGTGTAGTTGAAGTGCTTGAAGTGTTGAAGAACAGTTGGAACTTTGCTCTTGTTGGGATGTGAGGATAGGAAAATATTATCTTCCCAACGTCCGCCTTTCTTGTTGATGAATGGAGTTTGAATCTCAAGAAGGCTTGTGAGTTTTAAATATTTGAATATATTGTTCGAGCAAAAGTTTGAGCTAAGTTTTTTTGCAAAAGGTTTGCGGTTGTTCTTCAAGTAGTATCTTTTATACTGGGGTTGTCTTCCCGTTGGAGGAGGAGGACAACTGCATTAAATGCGCATACAGTTGACTTGACCAGTAGGACCCGGTAAAGTTGGCGAGTTGCTATTTTGGGATAAAGTTATCCTGAAATATCCTGGAATGTCGGCCAATCATCAGCTTTTACTCTTCAACGTACGGGGTGCATTAAATGAGCATTTAATGGTCGTACTGTAGCTTTTCTGTTGAAGTCTTCTAGCCGTTGAGGGAATCTTCCGTTGGTTTCACCGGCTAAGATAGATTCATGGAAATTCTCTAAGTGTCACGTCTTCTGGTATCTTTAGCAGAGAAGCTACTAGAGAGGGTCTCACGCACTTCTGTTGGGATAAAACTACCAGAGGGTCCTTAGGTCTTCTGTCAAGATAGAGGCCAACAGAGGACCTTTTGTTACTCAAGTTCTGGTGTAGTCCAATAGAAAACCAGAAGGTCTTCTGTCAGGATAGAGGTTCACCAGAGGGCCAAACCAGCTTCTGTCTGGAGGTCTTCTGTTAGTCGACTATACTAGGAAAGACATTACACAAAGAAAATTTCTAATACAATTTTCTAAAGCGAGGTACTCTAAAGTCCTAATTAATATAGCATCATCAAAATCTAATTACAATTATTCCTTACAATTTCCCCCTTTTTGATGATGCCAAAACCCTTTAACTATTTCCAGAGAATTGCCTTTCATCATAAAAGAAATAAAGTTCAAAAACTTTCATTAAGATTCTTGATGGGCAACTTGGCATAGGAAAATAGTAAGAGTAAGATACATTCAAGATAAAACACAATAAATCAGGATAAACAGAAATGAAATAGACAAACATACATAGCAGAATATAAGAGCAGATAGAGGTGAATTGCCTTACAATGTGAAAGGGAGAGATGTTATCTTATTAAGGGATAGAGTACAGAAATGTTCCTTTACAAATTTTCCCTTACTGTTGTAGCCATTGCTTGATCTTCCAATTCTTGCAATCTATTTAGTTCTGCATTGATCTCTTCTCGAATACCTATGAGGTTGCCAGAGCTTTGATATGAGGCCCAGATGGGTGAGAGCTTGCAGTCCAGATAGCTCAGGACTCCTTCATGAACATCTTTTCCTGGAAGAATGTGCTTGTGATACCAATATTCAGCTTCTTCCATGGAACCACCATGCTTAACTTTCACAATGCCATCTCTGTCAAGATAGAGATTCTGCTGCTGAGTAGGGGTCATCTTCTGTTTCATCTCCTCGAATTGGGGTTTATCAATCCTTTGAGATCCACCCAACCTCCATTCTCTGAAATTCAGAGCCTTCTTCTGCTTAGAGGCCTTCTTAAGTGGAGATGGGGGTCTGGGTAATCCAGCTGCTCTTTTCTTCTGGATTGCTGCTTCAAAATATGGTGTGGGATCAATTGTTGGGTTGGCAGAAGACGATGCTCTAGCAGAGCGAGGTTTAGGAGGTTGAGGGTCCTCTTCCCCCTTTTTGGCATCATTGATGTCTTCTAGCATCAGGCTGAGTTTCTGAAATTCTGAGGCTTGATTGGAGGCTATCTGTTCGAGGGCTTCTGGGAGGGTCTGTGTGACAGAGGTGAGGCCTTCTATCAACCCTTGTTGTTTCTGGATAACAGAGAAGATATCTTTGTTGCTTGCTTCCAGTAGGACCATCTTCTGATATCTTTCTTTGTCAGCAGCCAAGAGTAATTTGCCTTGTTCAGAGTGTTCTCTGCAGAGTGCTTCTAGTCTTTGTAATTTCTATTAAGTTTGGGTATCAGACTTCTGTAGACTGTCAATAGCTTGAGAAAGCTTGGTGAGAGTAGCATTCTGAGAGTTGAGAGTCTGACCCATTGTGTGGAGTACTGCATTGATGCTTCCTACTTCGGTTGAGAGATTGTTGACTTTGGCGCTTGAAGAGGTCATGAAATTGTGTAGAGAGGTTGCCAGAGTATCAGACAGATGCTTTAAGCCTGATTCAAAGGTTGAATTTACCTGGGTCAGATGCTCATAGTGACCTTGATTGATCATTACTAATTTCTGCATTCCATCCAGCACTTGGCCACCAAAATCCTCTGCAGCCTCAACAAACTTATTAAAGGGTATATGTGATCCTGCATTCTCAGAGGTAGGCATCCCTAGTCCTCTTGTTTTGGGCATAGGAATGTGCTCTTGAGCAGATGAGTGGAGTTGCTGCTGCATTTCATGCTCATGTTGTGTAAGGGGAGGGGTCTTCCGCCTTTTAGAGGTTGCCTTATTGGGGTCGCTGACAATAAACCCATCCATGTTTGAGGAGTCCTCATAGGAGGAGTAAATAGGGATTCTATCTCTGACCACTCGTTATTTTCTATGGAAAGAGGGTTTTGAAGCAGAAGAGTGTCTGGAGTGTCCTTTTGGTGCGTGAATTGGTGATACAGTTGTTGGATCAGAGGAGCTAAAGTAGAAGACTTGATGATGTTGAGATGGGGGTTTCTGTTGAGGAGGGGTAACAGATTTGGTATTCTGATGCTGAGAGCGTTGGGGTGAAGGAGTTTTCTACTGACTGGGGTTCTCTTGTAGGGGTTTTTTCTGTTGTTGGGGAGATGGAGGAGGTGAAGGAGATTTGTTCCTGCTGGGGGTTTTCTGTTTGCAGGGTGATGGAGATTTGGATTTCTGAGATGAGGTATTCTGTTTGGGTGGGGTTTTCTCTTGTGGAGCTTGTTTGGGTGAGGGGATGTTCTGTTGTGGAGTAGAAGATTTTTGATTAAGTGGGGATTGGGGTGGAGTGGTGTAAGGGGTGGTGATTTTGGTGAAGGTTGTTGAGGGGGTGAGGAGGTATTCTGGTGAAGAGGTGATGTGGGTGGTGAAGAGATAAGAGGTTCGGTTGCAATTTGAACAGAAGGGGATTGAGAAATTACCTCAAGTACTGGTTCTTCTAACAAAGAATTTTTCCATTCCTGAATCAGCTCAAGCATGACGGATCCCTCATCCTTGGGTATGGATGATTCCCCAGGAAGGAGGTTGGGATCTACTGACTCCTTGGCTTTCTTGGCGAACAGCTAGGCTTCAAATTCTTCAATTTCAGCGTCTTCCAGGGGCTTGACATGCTCTTCAGAAGGAGTGGAGATGATAACAGCCTTTCCCTTGTAACTGATCTTCTTCTTCTCGAGGACAGATGTAAGGAAGTTAAGGGCAAAACATTTAGATACATCATTAGTACCTACCTAGTTGAGGACATCAGCTTCATCTGACTCATAATGGTCAAAATACTGAATGATCTTCTGTAGTGGCCCCATCCTCCAGCTCCTCCAAGCTAGCACTCGCTCAAACTGTTTGTTCAAGGCAACAATGTAGTCAGTCTGAGGTTCTCTGTCTGGTGATGCTTGGTGTTCTGGAGATGGTACAAGTACTTGATGTTCAAGTGCACTTGTAGATTGGGCAGAGTTCTCAGGTTCCCCTTGAGTGGTAGCATTCTTCACCACTGTCTCATCCTCAGAGTCGCTTGACTCAAATATAATCTTCTTGCC